CCCTCTGGCCAACACCAGTAGGCGGTAGGTAAAGTGTCTTGCCCAAGGACACAACGACCAGGACAGAGAGCCCGGGGATCGAACCGGCAACCTTCCGGTTACAGATACGCTTCCCACGGTCGCCCCAGATACACAGAGGGGCACAGAAAAACCTAGGAACCAAGGCATAAATAAAGAACAAAATACAAAAGACACAAAAACTAAGAATGCTGAGTCAACATGACCCAGGATCATGACATGTATAACAAAGTTTCAAAAAGTATTTCATTATTTCATTGAAGCAATTTACATTTGGGACCTCATATTACTCCACATTCTCTACTGACCACTACTTTCACCAAATTTGAATTACTTTTCAGAGGTTTTTAAATGATGACAGGTTCACTGTCATCATTTACCATTTTGCAAGAAAGGGCCATGAGGTTAATTCTGAATACTGGTCACAGAGATCACACAAAAGCCTGTTCTTGAAATCAAACATACTGAAATTTACTGATCTGGGTCATTTTAAAACCACACAAATTATGTTTAAAGCCAAAAACAACGTGCTCACTGACAATATTCTAAAACTGTTGATTTGAGGGGAGTTCAGTTTAAAACATCTCTGTGTCCATACAACAGTGAAATCCCAGTATCATGGCATGAAACTGTAGAGGTGGCTAATGTAAATGTGTTGTCTCTTTAAACCTTGGATGCACAACCTACCAGTACCTACACTCTTCCACGAGTGGGGTCAAAAATGACCCCAAATAGAAACAATGCATTTTGCTATAAACTCGGTTGTTATTCTTCAAAATCTTTAAAACGAAGAGTTGTAATATATTCATATTTGAGGTATTCCCCATAAAACATGATTGTGACATGAGGCCCTTTGCATTTTTATTTATTTTTTTCATTAATTTTAAGAAATTGCAGTTTTTGTATCACTTGTATCACTTTTGTATGCTTGCTCGGCATATAGTGCAGAAGCTGGGCCTTCCCTCTGAAAGGCACAAGTTGTTCATCCACTGTAACACAATCACTGAGGATGAATTTCTGCCTACAGTTGACCAGGAACAGGTCCCATATGTAGCAGAACGCTGCCATGTGGTTTGTTTTCAGTCCATAGGCTCTGGTCCTCTTGTCCTCAAAGTGCAAGAAACTGCGAATATCTTTAAATCTTTGAATTGACATAGTGGCCTTGCACAATGGGTTATGCAGAGGACTCCCAAAATGCACACCAACGGGTACATCCCAGTTCGTCTCATTTCCTGCAAGAATGGTCAATCAAATGAAGGGTTAGATGTAAAAGTACAATGTTTGAAATGCACAGGAAACTATAAACAGGGCCGCACATAAATGGTCCGCAGGTGCACATTTGCTGTCAAAATAAAAGACGCGTACCAGATAAGAAGTTGGGACGGTCGTTTGTGTACATTAGACATTCTGGAGGAGGACAGACATTTGTTCAGAACTCTTAAAGACGTCAAAAAAGCAAGCTCCGTAAGCAATTACTTTGGTGTTCCTCCACCACAAACGAGGCACGTATTCTCTGAATTTCCGGGAATACTTTTATTTTGACAGCGAATGCGCATCTGCGGACCACTTATGTGCAGCCCTGACTATAAATCATGTATGTTACTGTGTAAAAATTTATTCCTGATCCATCAGAAGTGTAAGTGGGACAGTCAGAGTTGCTAAGAATGAAAGTTCCATAGAAGATTCCACAGGAACTGCTTGGGGTCATTTTTGACCCCACTGTGCATCTAAGGGTTAGATGTAAAAGTACAATGTTTGAAATGCACAGGAAACTATAAACAGGGCAGCACATAAATGGTCCGCAGGTGCACATTTGCTGTCAAAATAAAAGACGCGTACCAGATAAGAAGTTGGGACGGTCGTTTGTGTACATTAGACGTTCTGGAGGAGGACAGACATTTGTTCAGAACTCTTAAAGACGTCAAAAAAGCAAGCTCCGTAAGCAATTACTTTGGTGTTCCTCCACCACAAAAGAGGCACGTATTCTCTGAATTTCCGGGAATACTTTTATTTTGACAGCGAATGCGCACCTGCGGACCACTTATGTGCAGCCCTGACTATAAATCATGTATGTTACTGTGTAAAAATTTATTCCTGATCCATCAGAAGTGTAAGTGGGACAGTCAGAGTTGCTAAGAATGAAAGTTCCATAGAAGATTCCACAGGAACTGCTTGGGGTCATTTTTGACCCCACTTGTGGAAGAGTCGGGTAGTGATACAAAAACTGCATTTTTTATAAATCAATGAAAAAATAAATAAAAATGCAAATGGCCTCATGTTACAAACATATTTTATGAGGAATACCTGGAATATGAATATATTACAACTTTGCATTTTAAAGATTTTGAAGAAAAA